CACACACACACACACACACACACAGCAGACACTAAACAGAGAACAGCCTGGATCCCTTGAAAAGTAAAGGCGCCTGAGCTGTGGCTCAAATTTTAACACAATAGAGTCACACTGCAGTTTACTGTACAACACGACACCACAACCCCCCCGCGTGGGCCCCAACCCTCCCCTCCACCACCCTTCGCTGCAGGGCCCTGGCCCGTTACCCTTTCATTTGAGTGTCATTGTCACCCAGCATCAGCGTCCCCACTCCGATCAGTGCTGGCCTGGCAAGGGGGCAGGGGTGCATGGGTGGAAGGAGAGTGGAGGTGACATTGCAGAGGGGCAGCTGGGAACACTATGGACCGTTGCCCAGAAACCACAGTGAGAAACGGAGAGAGGGAGGAGAAGATGGAGGGAGCGAGAATGCTGCGAGGTGACATTTAGTGCTCTAAGCCTTTCCAAACCCTGACGACAAGGCTAATTGAAGCCTGACAGCAAACCTTTATCCCCGAGGCCCGTTTGGTTTATCAGTTCCCGTGCCACACACAAACAGCGCTGATACCCCTGTTTTGACTAAAGCTGACACTTGAACTTTTAAAATGTCAACAGCATATTTTGAAATAAAGTAGGGTTTTTGTTTCTTGCATATCCGTGAATCTTTTTTTTAATATTCCCCCTATTTCCCCCTTATTCTGCTGTTCATCTCACCGCGTTCCACAACCTGCTTTATTTATTTTTTTCTCTCACACACACATGTTGTATGAAAGCTCTAAATGTCAGTACGAGTGGCTGGACTGTCTGATCGTCACATTATCCTTTGGACTCCCGGTGACCCCGTGGGGCTGTAATGGCAGTGGTGTGTCACATTCCTGCTGCTGGGACAGATTACAGGAGAATTCACAGTACTCTAATTACATCCTCTGCCTGTCATCTCCCTCCAGCCAGCCAGCCACCCCTCCCACCTTCGAACACTGCCCAGCTAAGCTAGACATGCACCGAAGTAATGCCACTGTGGTTTACAGTTTGCCGTGTTGAAACCTAATCAGAGTCATGGGTATGTATCGTTTACATATCACACATACACCAAATGTTTTTTACTCTCACATACACGCAACTGAAAACAATCATGCACCAATAAACATCAGTGTTTAATTAATCCATAAGTGGTTCAGCTGTATTCCCCCATTTCCTGTTTATGCCAGTGAGAAGCCAGTCCTGTATGCCAGTGGCACAGAGGGGCTTATCAGGCAGCACTGGACTGCATCTAGCCAGCATAGACGGGCTGGCCGACACTTACTTGACTTTTCTTTGGCCCTCTGATGAGGACACTGGACCTGTGGTGAGGGTGGGTTTCCGCTTCCTTGGCCGACCCGGTCCTCGTCGCGCTGGGCTGCGTGGGGTTTCCTCCTTCCTGCTTGCACATACAAGATGTAAAGGACAGAGAGAGGAACTCCTGAGATACATAATATAAATACACACCAAAGGTCAGCACAGCAAAGAACACAGGAATAACACAGAAAGGAATCCTCAGCGAAAAAGGATGTTTGAATTGCACTTTTATTGTGAGGGGTGGAAATAAGCCATAGGTAAGGGGGATAAGGTCCCACTCACTGGTGATCATGCTTCCTCTGAAGTTTGGCCAGCTCCTTTTGCTTCTCTTTGTAGCGGCGCTGTAGCTCAGCCAACTTTACACGCATTGCAAGCTCAGGACCATCCATTGTTTCCATGCTACCTTTGGCCGGGCAAACCTGAAGTACACGGTAGAATTTATTTTTAAAATTAAAAACAACATTTTACATTAACAATGGCGCGCCGTAAATTCAGACTTACTGGTTCGTTACGAGGCGTCCAGCTGCATTTCCGACGCAAGTTGAGGATCTTGCGGGCGGGGAAGTGTCGCCCCGAACCCGCAGTGCTGCCTTCCTGGGTGCCCATCTCCAGTGCACGGGCTGTGGCCAGGGTAGCAAGACTTTGGAGGTCAAACATCAGCAACTCATCTTCTGTGAGGGAAAAAATAAACATGGATTTGATTCACATTTATGCTCGATTTAAATACAGCTGAACTAAAGACACTTTGGTTGTGCCCTGGCTTCTGTGTCCATGCTCATGTCAAAGTAAGCAAGAAATGTAGTGGGGTGTTTGTGCATGTGAGTGGTACATGTGCACATTAATTGTCAAATATTGTACATGTAGTTCCTAAATTCAGCAGTAACCATATTATATAGTGAATAAATTGTGAGAGAAAGACATTGAGGGAAATTATGTATATCCAGCCAGCAGGGGTAACAGCATTATCATGGAGCTGGAGAAATGTGACACTGTCTTATGTCTTTACAGGAATTTAACAAAAATACTGATGATCCTTACTAAGTACTTGTTTTGTTAAAGACTACTGCTGCGACATGTGCCGCTTCTCCGAGCTGCCGACAGTATTGCATCACAGAGACAACATCACAGACTCTGGAATCAGTTGATACCTTTTTTTTTTTTTTTTTTAAAGAAGCCTCTATTGGGAGCAGTTAAATGCATTAGGATGCTGTGGTAAACACAAAACATCCTTTTGCATGAATAAAAAAAACAAAAACACATTGCGCTTTGAAAACAAGGAAGCTTTTAAAGGCACTTTAAAACAATGGGGTCTAATTAGCCAGGCAATGCCCCAGGGTGCTGAAAACATCGACTGCTTTTGTGATTACACACTAACTTTCAGTAACATGTTGTGTTTGGGAGAGTGGAATGCCAACCAGTGTGTTTCTTTTTTTCCTTTTTGTTTAAGTGTGTATTTGCGGTTGCGTGTGTGTTTTATGTGTGTTTGGGACGTGCGTGTGATTGTGCGCACGTTTGGATCAAGCAGCGGCAGGATGGAGAGACAGAGAGAACAGCTCCCTAAGGAAAGCTGGAAGGGAGAGAGGGAATGAGAACGGGGAGGTGTACACCCTTTGCTTGCCGTTCAGCCCTGTCCTCCTGCTTCTTCTCCCTCTCCTGAGACCTCTGCATCGTTAGAACAGCCTTTTAGGAAATAAAAGTGCCTTTAACACACCAAAGAAGAGGAACGGCAAGCAGGCATGCAGACAGCTTCTCTGGGGACATGTTCGAATCCACCAGAGGCTCTTTAGACCAGCAGGAAGAGAGGAGAAACTGGGAGGGAACACAGAGCGACCGAGGCAAGGCCTGAGGGGGGAGTGGGACTTTGTCACAGAGGATGCAAAGGAAAAGGAGTGTAAACTCTGAGAGAGAAATGCATTCTGCTGATAAGAGTGTGTTCCTGTGTGCATGATAATGTGTATAAGTAATGGAGGATCCACTGTCCCTCACCCTGGCTTTTTCCACAGGTGCGCTTCCGCTGTTGCAGCTCTAGATCTGCCAGCTCACTCAGAAGCTCCATACCCTGGTGGGGGTTGGGCTGCGATGGAGCAACTGATGGGGTGCTGAAGGGGAACATGGGAAATGGAGGAACGTCTGTGCAGAAGGCAGCAGCAATAAGCAGCTCCAGACTCCAGTAACACGGCACAAGAGGTTTGTGGGGCACCGAGACAGTTGTCTGGCTCGGAGAGGAAGCTGAGGCTGGGGAAAGACACACAAATTCCACTGAGGCGTCATCAGTGGTCATCTCATTCTCGCGCTGCTGCTCACTGTCCTTTGCTCCGTCAGGGGCCGGGGACTGCGACTCTGCAGCTGCAGGGGAAGCTGGGGCAAGCTCAAAGATGGTGGGCAGGTCTGGCTCCTGCTCTCCAGGCATGTTGACCTTTTGAGCCTGCTCCACCTGGGCCCCCTCCCCCACCGCCCCATCATCGTCTTCCTCTTCCAACGTGATGACAGCCTCTGGCCTTTCAGACTCCTCTGTTGACAGGGGAACTGGACAGGAAGCAGCCTCGCACACTGGGCTCTCAGCAGGGGGGCAAACCAGCACCTCCTCCTCAGCAGGCCTCTGCTCCTCCACCTCCTCCTTCCCAGGCACAAAGTTGGCTGCTACCTCCGCCTCCTCCTTCTGCTCCAGAACTCTGTCGACCACCATTCCCTCCTCTTCCTGCCCCGCTTCCTCAGGTGGGAGTGGCTCTGAAAGAGGCCTGACCACCGCTTGGCAGTCTAGCTCCTCCTCCAGCCTGGAGAGAGGTTCAGGAGCATGCTCAGCAGGCTCCACTTGGACTGCTTCCAGGTCGGCTGGCTCAGCCAGTCGAACATCCTGAGGGGAAGGTCCGCTCCTATAGCCCATGGCAATAGCAGGGTAGGTGTATCCTGGAGGCAAGTCTATAAAGAGAAAGAAAAATAGATAACAGAATCATTAATATTGGCTACATGATTAAAAATATAATATAATGCAGTTACCATCTATCATTTCATCTGATGCATTACAGACAGCACCATTTTTCTTGAAGAGATTGTTACATGCAGAGGTGATGAACAGAACTAAAATTCTTGCTCTTCAGGCCCACTGTGAACTTAACTCCCTTGCTACCTTTGAGGTCACGAGGGGTGAAAAAACAGGAAAAGGAAATGAAGTAGCACGCTGCCTTGATCTCCCAGCAGTGGGATGGGGAGAGGACCACATGCAACCTTTTTTGAGTGTTTTTTTTCTTTAAAGTGGGCCAGGCCTTTGGTTTATCCGGGCGCCTGACACAATTCCTCTGGCGTGCGCCGGCCGTTAGCTCGACATTAATGATGATGAAGAGAGTGCTGTGCCCGTGGGGGTGGAGGAGAGGCGAGGGCTGCTATTGAGGTGTTTCTCAGTCATTACTGAGGTAACAGTACTGGAAAGCCCCAGCTCATCTGGCAGTCATTTTCTGCAGCTTAGAGCTGTTCGGTCAATCAGGGGCTTGCCAACAGAGTCACCCGCACACAATATAACAACACCAGCAGGAAAAACTGATTGTTAACAGTGACTATTCCATGTACATTGGGTATCATGTACAAGGTGTACAGCTATATCACAGAGTTCACTATCGTTAGTCTGTCACTGTGTCAGACTTCAGTTTAACATTTGTAACTGGTTGCATCTTAATCTGATTACAAACAGCATGTTCTTTGAAAGGCTGATGTTGTCAGTGCTGCTCATGCTTACACCATTCTAGAAAATGATAAGGCAGATTTGTATACTCTAGAATGCATATTGGTGCTTTTGTTTATACTCACCAGGCTCCAAAGACTCTGGATAAACCTGTGGGGGCTGACCCTCCACTCTCTTGTCCTGAGAGTCGGCGCCCTTGGGCATCTGTGGTGGGGCAGGGCTGATGGCGGGTGAGTGAGGGGCCGCTGTGGCGGGGCTGAGAGCAGGGCAGGGTGTCGAAGGAGTGCTTTTGGGATGCGCTCGCAGGGAGGGGGACTGGCAGCAAGGGGACAGGTGAGCAGCACAGGCCCCAGGGGGAGAGGCGTTCCTCTGGGGCGGGTTATAGGAGTAGGGCTTGGCAGGTTTGGACGTTCTGGGTTCTGAAATGAGTTCCTCCAGCTCAACCGAGGGCTCATTTGTCCTCTTCTGCATCTGTGACATTGAAAATGAAATCATTTTAATATTATACATCGGCTGAAGGGTCCTACAGACAACCTGTCAATCTTAAGCAAATCATTTTGTATAATAGCAATTCAATAATCACGTCATTGTAATCTAGTCATGAAAATAAAAAGCTACTTTCTCCGCAGCCTAAATTCACTGACTTTCTTTATCCCTGTGAGGAAATCAGCATATCCCAGAAAAACATTAGAGGAATTAAAAATAGTTGTGTGAGAATATACGCTGATTATTTGAGACTTGTCCTATTTTGTATAGACAGATCTTTGGCAGCTTATGTTGATTAAACTCTTGTTTCTTGTATATTTTGACTGTGTAATCACCTGTGCATTGTGAGAGGCTTGATGTTGCATGTCCATGCCATGTGTAGCTCTGTGCTGCTGCTGTTGCTGCTGCTGCTGCTGCTGCTGTTGAGGTTGAGGCTGTAGCTGCTGTGACGGGTGGCTCTGGTGCTGATGTTGATGCTGATGTTGGAGCTGTTGATGCTGCTGGAGAGCATACAGCTCCTGTTGCCGTAGAAACTGGGATCGGGAGTACACAGCAGGATGTTGCATGTGGGAGGGTGGGCCCCGGGCGCCGTACACAGGGGGCCACAGCCCTTGCTGCTCCATCACATCTAATGAGAAAAAAGGAGGAGGAATGTGACAGAGGCTACCTTAGAACTAAAAAAACAACACTTTTCATACACATCAACACCAACACAACAGTGTTTTATCCATATGTCTCATTATCTTCCTCCCACACAACATTTCCAAATACTGAAACCATTATGGATCATTTAAAAATCATTGAATTCACATTTTATTATAACGACAAATCTTTAAAAAAAGATAAAAAATGAGATTTTCGACTTCCCACAACATCTCCCCAGGCAACACTAATCCCACACTCTCTCCTGCTCTGAACAACGGAAAGCTGTCTCTTAAGAACTGCCTAGAGAATTTGCTGGAATGCAGTGAAAAAGTCATGACAATGATGAAATGCGAACAGATGACGGTTATAGACTGATTAGGGGTCAAAATACTGGGGTGGGTAAGCGGGTTTGTCTCGCCGGAGCATTCTGTTCAGCCTGTTCGCCGAAAAGTCCCACCTGCCCAGACAAACCACAGGAGGGGGTCAACGAAAGAGCTCAGCAGGAAGCTTGGTTCCCATGTCTGTGATTGGACAATGTTTTCCAATATGTGGCTTTGAGGACTAGTACAACTTAAAGATGCTGCTGCTATGACAGAGGTCCCACTTGGGTAATAATAGGCCCACACAGTAATATGAGCAAAACTGGCATTTTTCTATTCTCTGTATTTAATGGACTTTTCCCATAAACAGTTATGTCCAATTTGACTCACTCTTCCACCCTTTTTGCTGAGACATTGCAAAAATCCTTGTTCAATGACATAAAGTTGGACACGCAAATGTTTCCTGTGGGAAAGCTTGATGCACGTCCTCTCTCAGCTGAAACTCCTGTGGAGTGCAGCAGGAAACATAACGCTGAAGATTGTAGGCTAATTAAATTTTGCAGCCTGTTCACCGAATATGTGTCCACTAGGACTGCTGAGAAGCTTTTCTTTCCTGTACTCTCACACTTCCTTTTCCTGCTTGTGTGGTACTAGTGTATACATGCAGGTGTGTGTGAGTGTTTGTGTGTAGCCTATGTGGGTGCACCCTGACCCGTTGAGAGCACAATTCCTGTTGGGCCAAGCAGATGGTGAGCAGGAGATTTTGGAACAGTACACATGCACATGCTGCCTCAGTGGAAGCATAGGCATAAAACACAGGTTAGGGACATCCATTTTTAAGGTATGTTTTGGCATTGCACCTTTATTGACAGGACAAATGTTAAAATTAAGACTCATTTGTTTTAAGTGGAATAAAAAATAAGCTTGGCTTTACAGGAGAGATAAGGGGTATGACATACCCAGGTGATGGGTTGCAGGATGGGCAGGGGGCTCAGTGGGCAGGACAACCAGCTGGCCAGAGGGATCCTGAGGCAGAGGCAAAACCGGCTGCAGGGGGCCTGGCATGGCTGCAGAGAAACCTGGGGGCAGATTCTGGTGCAGGGCTGTATGACCTATACCTGCTTTATTAAAGGATGACAGTTTAGATCATGTAACCCTCATATTCCTCGTAAAAAAAACAGCTACAACCATACTGTGACTACTGTTGGTTAATCTCCAATGGAAGATGCTTATGTTGAAATTATTGCCAACAGATCATTATCAATAAAGGCCAAACATATCAATATCCTCTTACCATAAGAATGACCACTCATCCAGAGTGATGGACTCCCAGTTCTTGGCATCCAATGATGGTGAGCAGAATGTGCAGCAGGATCTCCTAATTGGCCAGACTGGAGGGAAGTCCCGCCTGGGACCATGAGATGAGAGGTGAGGTCAGCGTGACAGCTGTTAGAGGGATGGATCCTTGCAAACTCCACCCTTTCCTTATTATCCCTGATATCAGGAAGAGACAAAGATCAAGAAATCAAAACGAAAACCAGGGTATTGAAGACTTGAGTTGTATATGAAGGAATGGTTTCAGTCGTTCACCTGATGTATGGATCTCTCTCTCTGTCCAAACAAGTTAGACCTATCTGTTCCCCACTCATCCTCTTCCTCTCCTCCTCTGTGGTGGGATCTGAAGAATACATGGAGCGGGGCAGTCCTGTGAGACAAACATTAACTTAACCATTAGCTTTCACTGCTTTGTCTCTTGGTGTAGACCTATTCCCAAGTCTCACACCATTTTTCAAAACACTGTTGTGATTCACAAGAGACTTGAGATAATGTGCTCATTAGTTTGTTCCACCCAACAGATATTTGACTCTGCTTTTCTAAAGCCACCTTTTTGAATACACTCTATTTTATGGCCTAATACTTATCATTCCTGTATTTGTTCCTCAAACATGAAATCAGTTGACAATTCATGCTAGGACTTTTAATGGACATGGACAAATGGGTAAGGAGTCCTAACAAAGACACATATCTGTT